AAGAACTAAGAGGAGATGCACTAAGGAATCATGCATTGTGTGTGTGTGTATATATAGAAACATTTGAGGGGGGAGAAAACAAACAGGAAGAAAACCTCACTGAACTATGTGGGAAAGATCTATACGAAGGACAGCTGGGAACAACTGTGTTTCTACAATCAAATCCACATCTAACACCATATTGCAACTATCAAGCCGTTTGATGGCGGACCACAGTGAGGTTATACAAACATAAACACACACACACACACATCCTTCTTGAAAAGCTTCTTAGACAGTGAATTAAAAAATATATATTCCATTGACAATCACAAACAATTTAAGCAACCCTAACTAATGGCTTTACTCCCTTGAGCCTCCATTACTTTACCCCAGGGGGGCTTCCTCTCCCGAAGCTGGGTCTCCCACTCTTTCCCTTCCAACAGCCTCTAATGGAGATCCTACCTGCCACCAAAGTGTGCATTTACTGTCAAAACTTAACCTCAGTGCATTGCCTTGGACAGCAGAAATGGTCCAGGAGCTTCAGGGGAAAGAGGGTTGCTGTGCGGCTTTTGAAAAATCTTGGGAGTCACTGTGTCATTTAAAGGGACTCTCCAGCCTGGGGTAAGACAAAAAAGGGGGTGGGGTGGGAAGGGGAGCCCAAGAGATCATTTAGACAAGAGGCAAATAACCAGTCAGAATATACCTCAGTAAGATCCTTAAAAATTATCTTTAATTGATGCCAAATATGAACAGATCATCAAGTGACAGAAGCAAGTAAAATTGCATAGATGAACACTATGCGCCTCGAATGGGTTCTCAGTTCATCACATTCAAGACCCTCTACCTGACATCTTTGACGGTTAGGGCAGGGAAATGCACAGTTAGTGAAAATGAGACACACCCTTAACTCGAAGTGCAAGCAACTGGCAGAGGCAAGACAGAACACAGCGCTTCTTCACCTTCCATGGTTTGTTGTCCTGAGGGTGCACTTGGAATGAACACTACTCAATTGTGTTTTCACCTTGGTCATACTTTTCACAGGAGAGGTATGTCATTTGGAGGCCGTGTTGTGTACTGACAGCCGCCACACGCATGCCCCACTGCAGTGCACAGCCCAACCAGAAGGAGAGGAGACAACTTGGGACCCGGAATCTCTTGCCAGGTACTTCCTGGGTGATTGGGTTTGCTTTCCTTACGCGGTTCCTTCCTTTTCTGGGAGTGGGCACGTATGCATCGTTTCTATGTTCTTTGAAGTCTCTCATGTCCTAATAATGTCCCTGTCCTTCGCTCTGACAGGAAACCACTATGACTGGGGATCGTCTCCTTAAAGCTAATAGTCCTGAGGTCAGCAGGGCCTCACCCCTACCATTACAAGGGCTTTCCTCAGAGAGCCCTCGGTCATGGTGCCTGAGCAAAGAGACTAGCATTGGATCCCAAGGCTTCTAGACCTTACAGCTATACCCTGAATGAGTTCGCACAGTGGCCCGAGGCAATGGAACAGTTTTGGTTAACAAGTCAAGCTCCTGTCTGCTTCTTACAAAAATGATAAGCAATGTACATTCTTCTAAAGTTTACCTGAGTCAGACTGGACATGTTCGCATATACCCTGAAATCCTATGGGATAATGATGCACCCGACTACGCCACCCGGTGGATGAGAGACCATATCCTGAGTTGACTAGGATTGAGTCAGGTTTCACACCTGGAGTGTGTTTGGGAACAGAAACATCAAAAGAGTCCATTCTTACTTTGGGGGAAAAAGAGGGAGAGACAGAGAAAGCTGAACGATAACATGGATATTGGCAGTTTCCACTCGACCTGGGCTGTATTTATTTAACTACCCATGGTTACTGCCCACCAAGTCTCACCACTCCCAGGAATAAGTCAATTCCTGGAAGAAAGGGGGGGTGGGGGGCGATTGTCTTCTGTGGCTAGTCTCTTTCTCCTCTCAGTTTTAGTTAATCTACCAAACAAGGAATTAAAGTTTTAATTAAAATAACCCCCAAAAACAAAACATGTGTTTTTGAGGTCTCCTCTATTCAATGAAGGGCCAGGAAACGATCTATGCGGAGTCCTTCAGATGTTAATTCGAAAAATCTGTGTGTGCAATGTGACAAAGGTCCTCTACTTCCAAAAAACACAGACAGACAACAACCAACAAGCTCCCCCTCACTTAGCACTTCCATGATTTGTTCTGCTTTGACGTTCCCAGGGAGTCAAGGTGCTGCTTCCACCTGTCCTTCCGGCCCACCATCTGGATCCAAACCCACTGGACAGTTTGGATCTGTCCTGTAGCCATACATTTAGGAGAATTTGCTATTTTCCCAGGCTACGCCATTAGCGCACTCCTGATGGACCACCGATTTCACTGATAATCAGCACTCCATTCTCCAGGAGATGGGGGAGGCCTGGGGAGGTGGTGAGGGGTACGGGTGGGGGGGCCTGGAGCACAGATGGGAGGAGGGAACCTAGAAACAAACAAACCTTTCCTGGCGACAATCTGTCTTCTCTACATCTGAGGACAGAGGAAATGAATTCTTTGGTCTCTCTAATTCAGATCACTTGAGGTGAGTTAACTACTGCAGAGAGTCTTAGGTAGCTAACAGCCTGGGTGGGACCCGACTCTCCCACTGCCACCCTATTGAACTAGGGTCCCAGTGCACTGGGAGAGCTGAGCTATGGCTATCCGCGTAGCAGAAGTCTCCTCCTCCTGGAGAAAACGAGGATTCGGGGCACGAGCCATTGAGACTCAATACCTGGGAAGGGGATGCAAAGATTAAAAAAGCCCGATAAAATCCATCTAAGTCAGTGGACCAAAAGATCGGCATGCCTTCATAGGCAGTTTTGTTTAAGTGCACCTTCAGGTCTACAAAGACATTTCAGCACATGACAGTGCAAGGTTGAAGAATTTTGTCAAACTTCCCACGCCTCTGCTACACAGGTAAGCCCCGGACTCCATTCTTACTGCCTTCATTGCGATGAGCTACAGATGCAGAAGCAGCATTCGTGTCCCCCGTAACACCCCGCCTGGAGAACGAGAACTCATCCCCACCCCAGGCTGACAGGCCCGCTGCATGCAGCACTTGGTCCTGGAACACATGCAGAAGAACCAGCCAGTCCAGGGGCTGATCTGTGAGAGGCACCGAGTCACCAAAGCCAGTCTCAGTCTTGGTCCCCTTGTCTCAGCCTCTGACCCATCCCCCCTGCAGTACCAAGTGGATTATTGCTCTTGACGGAGGGCAGCGTTTCAGGTCCTCTGTGCCCTAGACCTCAGAGTCTAAATAAAAGATTGAGGCATCCTGGGAGATTTAGGGGGGCCACTGGCAATTTTTCCCACCTAGGGACTTTGAAAAGCAGGTAGGAGAGGAAGAGGCAGGTGAGCTTAGGTTCCAGTGGTAGGAAATACAACACAGGGATCGGGAAACGGGGGACGATGCTCTGTGTTCAGATGCTGTGCAGGCCTTGGCCCCTTTCCTTCCATGAGCTGTGACTTATGTTCATCTTAGAGAGTCAGGGAAGCCGCCCAGGAAAAATGAAAATATCCACGTTCTTTCTTTCCATGGAGTCAGCCAGCGGGGTGTGACTGTCGTCTCTTGCCTGACAGCGAGGTCTAGGATAGGATGGGCCAAAGGAATAGAAGGAGCTGGGCAGATGTCCAGCAGAAACAGGACAGGAGACCCGGTGTCCAGCAACAGAAGGCCACATGCCAAGTGCAGTATGATGATTCTCCACCTTGGTGTCCTTGAAAAGGCTGTCCCTGAAAAGGCTCTTCCTTGGTGGACAGCCTTTGGGCTCCAAAGGTCTATGTGACCCACCCAGCTCTCTTCCCACTGGGCACAGAGTCCCCATGATGCTCTGGGCTGTGGTGGGAGGGAAAGGAGGGTGGCCACAGGGCCGCAGAGTTAGAGAGATGCTCAGCTGGTGGTTGGTGAGATGGCTGCCAGGTGGGAAGATGGTAGAAACACCCCAGGAAGTTATCTGCAGGCGGTGGACCAGGAAGAGCAAACCTCGGACACGTCATTATGAATCAAGTGCCCCCATGTCCGCAACGATGTCTGACAAGATCGGACCATCCGAGATCGTTCTCTTGGGAGTCAAGAGTGGGCAAAGTGCTGTTATCCACAGAGGAGGACTCAAGGGATGTGCACGGAGCATGATATGGGGTCCGAGGACACCATGCACTTCCAGAGCGGTCCTCGATGGGAAGCAAAGTCCCAGCGCGTGTATCTTGGCGCCTGGTAGCAATGAGGAAAAAAGTCCCCGGATCATGTCCAGTTGGAAGACAGGCCCCCAGCTCTTGTTATGTGCCTGGCTGCCAAAGGAGCCAAGTTCACTGGGGCGACCAGAGACGCAGCACCCTCCTGGTCTCTCTCTTTCTCTTCTCAGGGGGTTTAGGATGAACCAGAGGTTTAGGATCTCCGGGGGGGGTTTAGGACGTCTTCTCACAGTGGTGAAGTGAGAGAGCGAGGGTGCAAAAGGGAAAGGAAAGCAAAGTGTCTGTGCCCCAACCCTTGCCCCACTTTGTCACTTATCTTTTCAGCTGTGTTCACAGAGGCACTTTCTGCAGTTCACTGTGGGTACAGGATGAAGGCACTAAGCAACTATTAAATCAATTGGTTGAGTTTCTTCAGGGAGCCTCAAGGAAATGGGGGCAGGGGGCAAGAAGTCTCAACAGACTTCCAATTGGGACTGCAAAAAAGAAATCAGCTTGGCTTTGGATGCGTACAATAGATAAACATTTTCATTTACATCCTAAGAATGCACCGAAAAAAGCATGCGGTATTGCACCTTTTTATTTGTTGTTGTTGTTGTTGTTTTGTTTGCTTGCTTGGCTTGTGTTTATTTTCAGCTAGAAAGAATACTTGTTCTTAGGTGTTGCTAAATATACCTTGATGACTTATTTATTATTCCACCTGGTTTTCCTTTAAGGGATGGGCATATTGGTCCTCTCTCTGCCGACACCTGCACAGAAACCTAACATTTCCCTGAGCCAAGGCAGGAAAATGGACTGAGTTCCCCACCCCCCACCCCCCTCCCACTATTCCTTTTGGGCCCTTCTTCCCACAAACATGTAAATTAATTTATTTTTTCTTTTCATTAGTTTTAACTGAAATCATGCATTAATGAATTCAAGGTACATCTTAGTCAAATAGGCCATAATGCTGAATAAGAGAACATGCTTTGAGCTCCAAAAAGTTATTATTCCCATCTGACTAACATATGCACTTAAATACAGTACTTTATTTACTAATAAAATAGTTCGTAAATGAAGGAGTGCACTTTTGGTGAATGCAAATGAAAAAGGATCTATTTGTAGAAGAGTCCAGTCCAAGGGGAGTGTATCTCCTATTGTCTGAGTTAATGTTCTCAGCATGCGATTATGAAATAAATAGTATCAGATTCAAACATGCTTACACTGAACTCTGCTTGTGCTCTCTTACAAGGAGGGGGCAAAGGTTTGACACCCAGTTCTGGAGGCTCGGGGCTAGGGGACAGGACTATGAGAAGAGACCTGTGTTTGCACATCTGCAGTTGAGAAAAACTTAGCAGCACTGCAGATGAATCCATTGTTTTAATTCCGTTTTCTTTTTCTCGGGATAGTTTGGATTAGGAAGTGGGGCACAGGGAAAATCCCTTTGCATGAGGACCAGTTTTGGATTTATAAGGTGCTTTGTGAACAAGTCTTAAGTAATTGTTTCACCTTGTAGTATGCAGTTCAGTTGATCAAAACTTTAAAAAAATTTTTTTTGTTCCTTGCCCAGGTTGACTGACATATCACATTACATATAATACATCTGATGCACTGTTTTAAATGCACTGTGCAGCTTGAAAAGATTTTCTATTGAAGTTCCATGCAAATTTTTAGTTTTATATTTTTAAATGATCATCTGGCTGTTTTTAGGCTAAAATAATAATAAGAGTACGTTAACGAAGCCAAAGGATTAAGAAACATTTCTGAATGGGGACGCATATGAATCTTAGTTTACCTAGACTAGTGCGTGGGCTGATGACTTTCAACCAGTTTGAGAAAATACTCTTCCTTTTCCCATTTTAATTCATAAAATGAAAATCGTTTTTTTTTTTTTGTTTCATGGATCTAGAAAGCTTCTGGCTCGCCTCGCCAAAAGTTCGCAATGCAACAATGCATTGCGAGTTAGAGCATTCCAAGACAACTTTAGTAACGTATCTACAAAGTGTGACATGCTCAGTCATGTGGGGTTTTGTTTTCAGTCTTTCAAGCTGCTAGGTGGGGCTTTTTTTTTCTTTTTCGGATTGCTTGCTTGCTTTCCTGTTTTAAACATCGGTCAGGAGCTTGCTCTTATTAACGCAGTTTTGGTTAGCTGTGGTGCAATTGCCAGTTCTGATATTGGGCTGCCTATAATGGGCTATGCTATTATTCATATCCTCTTCGATCTCCATGTACTCAGACTTGCTGATAGTAGAGGAGCTGCGGCGACTGAGGTCACTGTCGGAGGCTAAGTTAGGGGAGCTAACATGGAGCAGCTGAGCCTGCTCTTCCCCCTCAGTTTCTCGGTGGTAGAAATAGTTGAAATTGGACACAATGACAGGTACGGGCAGGGCAATTGTCAGCACACCAGCGATGGCACACAAGGAGCCCACGATCTTGCCTCCAATTGTCACAGGGTACATGTCACCGTATCCTACAGTGGTCATGGACACCACCGCCCACCAGAAAGCATCGGGGATACTAGAGAAGTGCGACTCAGCTTCTTCCGCCTCGGCAAAGTACACTGCACTAGAGAACAGGATGACCCCGATGAAGAGGAAGAAGATGAGCAGCCCTAACTCTCGCATACTAGCTTTGAGGGTCTGGCCCAGGATCTGGAGGCCCTTGGAGTGGCGGGACAGTTTGAAGATTCTAAAAACCCTTACCAACCGGATGACCCTGAGGATGGCCAGCGACGTGGCCTGCTCGCCCTTCTGGTTGCCCTCCTGCTCGGCAATCTCGGTGCCCAGAGTGATGAAGTAGGGGATGATGGCTACGATGTCGATGAAATTCATGATGTTCTTGAAGAAGTCCGTCTTGCTGGGGCAGGCGAAGAAGCGCACCATGAGCTCGAAGGAGAACCAGATGATGCACAGGGTCTCCACGATGAAGAAGGGGTCCGTGAAGATGTTGGAGGTGTAGATGACCGTGGTGTTGTCGATGCGGTGGAGGGTGCCCATGAAGTCCTTGTCGTCCTTCAGCTCCGGGAGGGTCTCCAGGCAAAAGATGACGATGGAGATGAGGATGACCATGACGGAGACGATGGCGATGACCCGAGCCGGCCCGGAGCTCTCCGGGTACTCGAAGAGCAGCCACACCTGGCGCTGGTACTCCTTCTCGGGCAGGGGCCTCTCTTCCTCCTTGATGAAGCCCTCGTCCTCCCGAAACTTCTCCATGGCCTCCTCGCCCAGTTCGTAAAACTTGATCTCCTCCGAGAACATGTCCAGCGGCACGTTGACGGGCCTCCGCAGCCGGCCCCCGGACTGGTAGTAGTAGAGGATGGCGTCGAAGCTGGGCCGGTTGCGGTCGAAGAAGTACTCGTTCCTGAGCGGGTCGAAGTAGCGCATGCGTTTCTTAGGGTTCCCCAGCAGCGTGTTGGGGAACTGCGCCAGGGTCTTGAGCTGGGTCTCGAAGCGCAGCCCGGAGATGTTGATGACCACGCGTTCGCAGCACTCGTGGTCCTCGTGGTCCTCCGGCCGCGGGTAGCTGCCTTCCTGGGGGTGGCCTGGCGCGGCCGAAGCCTCGTCCGCGTTGTCCCCAGACATCACCGTCATGGTGGAAGCCGGGTGGAGGGGTGAGAGACCAGGAGAGGAGCCAGGGTGGGAAAGACCGAGGGGAGAGGGGTGGGGGGGACCCTAGCGCCCCCCCCACCAGTGTGCGCGTCTCCCCCACGCTCAAGGGGAGGGGCTTCTAAGCGCGGAGGTCAAAAGATCCCGGGACTTGGTTTCCAGTGACTTTCCCCTCCACCCGCCTGTGACTCAATTTGGAATCCCCCTAGCCTGCGGAAAAAGCCCAGTGCAGCTTTTTGCGGAGCGTTTTTTTTTTTTTTGGTGGGGGGGAGGGTGTCGTTTGGCTTTTTTCCCCCCACCCCTGCACAGGGGCGTCTTAACACAGCGCCGTTCTAACGGATCGGACCATTGCTTCAGGGTCACCCTGGCCTCCCCACCCCTCCGGGAGCCCTCCTCGGACTGGGTGCCGCCAGCTCAGCAGATCCCCAAACCTGCCACCCCCTCTGCTTCTCCTCGGCTCTCCCCCCTCCTACCCCTCTTCGCCTGCAGCCTTCTAAGCTCCCGGGGCTGTCGATGGACGCTGCAGAGAAATAGAAAGTGATACGGGGGGGAGGGCAGAAAATCAGAAGCATTCAGAAGGGAAGGACCTCCAGACACCGAAAGCACAGACAACTAGATTTTAAAGAAAGCACTAGGCTTTTACTAGGGTTATTACATGCGCTCAGACAAGCGCGCGCGCACACACACACACACACACACACACACACACACGCAAACACCCGGAAATCCAAGTTTGGGGCTCTTCCATCCCACTCTCCCCAATGCCCCACAGCCAATCTGTTTACAACTCCCTTAAACTATAGAGATGGGGAGAGTGCCTAGAGACGCTCGGGGAGCGCCGGGTCCCCGGCAGCATCCCCACACCCCAGCGGTCCCCACCCGGTCGTCCCAAACCCCGCTTCCGCAGTCCGGGTCTGGGCAACCCTTACCTGGCCGCCCGGCTTGGTGCAGAGGCGGTGCGGAGTCGGCCCGGAGCCCAAGGCGGAATGCGGCAGGGCGCCTTTGCAGCAGCACCGGGGCGGAGCGGCGGCCGCTGCCGCAGCGGCATCCGAGAGGCGCCGGGGCGACCTCGCCGCCTAGTCCGCCGCCCCCGGCGAGGCTCCTCTCAGTCGGACCGTCGCCTTAGGGAGCCGCTAGCGCAGCATGGACGCGTCCATTCCCTACCCCCATTCGCACCCGTCGCCAGCAACCTGGAGCCGCCGTCCCCTCTCCCCTGCAGGCAGTTCCGGAGGATGCGGAGCGGAAAAGCGAAATGCCCCCCTCTCCAGAAACTCGGAAGCAAATGGCGAGAAATGGTACTCTCGCTCCCTCCTAACGCTACGGCAGCCCGGGCGGGATTCGATCCCGCAGGAGGCGGCTGGCGGCGGATCCGGAGAGAGCCTGGTTCTACATGGCTCTCGGTCCCTTCCACTCTCCGCTCGGACCTCGCGGAGCCTTTGGGAGGCTTCAGGACCTCGGAGGGGAGCCGGGTGCGTGCGGCGGCGGGGCCGCGAGCTCCATTTCTGGGCGCTGCAAGATCAGCAGAAACCTGAGAAAGCGCCTCGGATGCGGAGCAGCGATTGGCCCGCCGGGGCGTGGGTTGGGGAGGGCGGGGGAGGGCAGGAGCTAGGAGGTAGATGGAAAATATGAGGGGGTGATTTGCAGAAGGGAGGGGGTGATCATTCGGTTCCCACCGCAGCCATCACCGCTTTCCCCCTTCTCCTACCAGATAAAAAGTCGACCACCAGCTCTACTCTCCCCGCGCACGCTTCGGTCCCGGGCCTCGACCTTCCCCGGGGATGTCACATTGTAAAGGGCCAGGTCCGACGTAATGCAGACGGTGGTGTCCCTGGCAAAACTCCGGGGAAGGTTTGCGATGGTGCAGTCCCACAGTGATCCACTTCGACCGCGGCAACCCTCTCGCCCCGCCCCGCCCGCCCACAGAGGGCTCTCTGCAAGCGGACCCCGCGCGCGTTGCGGGGTTTGGGGAGAGCGCAGCAATTGAGCATCCTCGGGGTCTATTCTATGAGGGTTCTCGGACCTGGGTTTGTTGTAGGGAGGCGGTGGTGCTGAGTCTGTACCCCCTTGACCTTAAGAAGGGAGTTTTGACATCTTGATAGAATGTGACTTGTGCAGGGCCGAAGGCCCCGGGGCATAGGGGTTGGGAGGGGGAGGTATCTGCCAGCTTGGTACTAATGTGGGTGAACAAGTTACCTGCCCACCACCCCACGACCCTCCTCCTCCAGTCTCTCTCCCTGGCGCAGTGCTACCGCTGGGCCACAGTCAACGTTTGCTGTTTCTTTGGGATAAGGGTCCCCACCGGGTCTCGGGGGAGCAGGAACCAGGGCGTGTGCGGTTCACAGGAGTGTGGCTCTGGCAAGCGCCCCCAGAGGCGCAGCGCCTGGGCGCCTGCAGCGCGAGAGAAGGCACCAGCCGCTCCCTGACTTCTGCCCCAGTCTCCAAGGAGGCCGAGAGAACGCAGCGCCGCCGGTGATTGGCTCTTTCCTCTGTCGCGGGACCACCTCTTCACACCACCCACGTTCACCTCGCCTCCCGTCTATGCCGCCCACCTCTTTAATCAAAGCCAAGGATGGCATCCTGGACACTCTTTTGTGGCTAGGGCAAAACCGGAGCCTCCGGGGGTTGACCAGGCGGTGCAACAATCCCGGTGCAGAACTAGTTAAGTCCCTCCTCCAGATTCATACCCCAGCATCCCTTTCAGAAAAACGAAGTACTTGTTCTCGCCCCTCCTCCGGATCCGTGCCCTAGCTTTTCCTTTGTGAGCAATGAGTTCCCCTAGACTTTTCTTTCCTGTGTCTAACGCTGCTCTTCCCCCGTGGTTCCAGTCATTCCGCCTTCCGTCCCCTCTCCTTCTGCAGGAAGGCTGGACTGCAAGCACGGAAAGAAAACAAAGCAGCTCTGTGCTAAAATAGAATTAAGGCCCTTGTTTCAGCGTTTTGCTGCTGCTGCAGCAGTTAAATCATTTTCTGACGGAATATGAGCAAGACTGGGCTTCCTCTATCCCTACACTGCTGCTTACAAGTAGCCCCCTTCCTTCCTTCAAGGACCCTTAGGCCCCTGTCTTCAGAGAGCCCTGAAGGTACACCTGCTTTCATTTCAGTATTTGGAGATTGTCTTCCTAAGGGAGATTCACAGACTGAGATCAGTGTTCCCAAATTCAGAGTTTCGTGAGGGGGTGCACCAGGATGAGGAAGCCTTCAACATTCCTGGCACATGTCTTTGGAATAGAACTGGACTTCCAAATGCCCCTCTCCACCACCACTACTTTCCAACTTTCCCCCAGAGGTAAGGTCTGTTTTCCGTAGCTTTGTGGAAAATAGGGGTTTACCTCTATAGGGGTAGAGGGTAGATAAGAACACTTGGACATGGGGGCACAAAGAGCAGATGAACTCAGCATGTGGATACTAAAGGGGCTTGCATTCTGAAGGTGATTCATGAGGGGCACCCCGAGGCCGACTTGCTGCCCTCGGGTTGATTCTGACTCACTGTGGCCCTATAGGACAGGGTGGAATTGCCCCTGTGGGTTACTGAGACTGTCAATCTTTACAGGAGCATCCTCTTTCTCCCGTGGAGTGGCTAGTGACTTTAAGCTGATGACCTTGTGGTTAGTAGCCCTGAGCAGAATCCACTATGTTACCAGGGCTCATTTCTATGAGTGAGTGGATAATTATTCATTCTCTGAATATTTGTTCATCCTCAGTCAGGTGTCAGCCATTGTTCTAGCCTTCCAATCCCCCCCCCCAAAAAAACACACCCCAAACTTGCTGCCAGTAAGTCAGATGCTGACTCATAGTAATCCCCTATGGGTTTCCTAGCAGCTGCTGGTGGTTTTGAATGGTCAACCTGTGGATCAAATTCTAACACATAACCATTATGCCACCACGGATCCCATTTCTAACCTTGGAAAGAGTGAAATCAACCAGGTACACAGGGCCCACCCCTCAAGGAACTCACATTCTAGTGACATAGGTAGAAAGCCTCATCTTTCTCCTCTAGAGCAGTTGGTGGTTTTGAACTGCTGACCTGTGGTTAGCAGCCCAACATGTAACCCCACTCCGCCACAAGAAAAGGTAAATCCATAATAAATATGGATTTACATGAATAGAAAAGCCCTCTCTGCAGAGCTAACACTTGTACTTAAGAGCTCGAGGCAACAGAGAGCAAGAAAGGGGTGTATTAGGAGGAGAGCAGTAAGAACATACACAAAGATCGAAGGCAAGGGAAAGCTTAGGAAACCGAAGGGAACCCAGGTAGCTAGAAAGAAGTGGGCAAAGAAGCAGGATGTAGAAGGTGTGATCTTAAAGGGAGGCAAGGACAGGTCATGTGGTGCCTGGAAAGACATCGAAGGATTTGGATCCATACAGCAATATAATACAATTTTCAATTTTAAAAGATTACTCTGGTTGCTGGAAGCAAGAAGCAAAGTTGGAGGGTATGAAGTACTACAGCTGTGTAGACTGAAGAGATGGGAGAGGAGCTGTGAAACAGGGTTGGAACATGATAACAGCAACCCTAAAGGAAGGGGTAGAATTGTCCCCGGGGGTTTCCAAGACTGTAGAAGTAGAAACCCTTGTCTTTTTCCATTGGAGAAAGCCTTTTCTTTCTACCAGTAGAGCTGCTAGTAGTTTCAAACTGCTCACCTTATGGTTAGCAGCCCAACAAGTAATGACCACATCACCAGTGCTCCGGCCCAAGTGAGAATAAAATCCTTTTTTTCAGACAGTAAAACATAGTCAGTGGTGATGCCATGGAAGTATGGGTTGGACAGTTACTTTTTCTCATGAAACTGTGAGCTCTGAAACCTTGTATCTTTTTGTTACTCCTGTCTTAAACCTCAAATGTTCTCAGCCTCACCATTCTGCTCCTGGTCATTTGTCCTGCCTCAGCTGCTGCTGAAATAGCCAACACGTGTGGGCAGGGTAGATCTGCCTCCTGAAGTACTGTGACGTCATGAATGGAATCTGGCTTTCCCGACACCACAGGTCCTGGTGAGCAACTCAAAAGTGTGATGGCATCCCTCCTGGTGGGATGAAGCAAGAGCAGTGGTCCATAGGAGATAGGATGGAGTCAGTAGAAAATTTCTCTTTCCCTTTGGCCCTCTCATGGATAAACAACTACGTGGCCTTGTGTTGGGCTTTGTCTCCTTGGGGCTCATGGAATTGTGACCAGCTGGGTCACAACTTATCACTTGTATTTGTGTTCCATCCTTTCCAGTTCCCATGCACCTTAGTCTGACTGGCTGAGATCACGCCTTCCATTAAAGCATCGGCCCAAATTCCTGCTTCAGGTGGCCTGTTCCACATGACTTAGGATAGAGCAGAGGGGATCAAAACTGTACTTTAGGTCATACTAGGTTTAAGATATTCATTGAACAACAACCCAAAGGCAACATTTTTGGAACCTTAATTTCACAAAAGACTACTTTTGTTTCTAGCTATAAGCTTGGATTGCCTATGGTAAAACCTTATTTCACATCCGCGTCAACTTAGAATTTATTTTCAAAGGGGAATTTGTTTTCTCAATGAGAAAGGGGGAAAGGTCATCTCTTGCAAGTAAAGATGGAGAAGGAGCTATTAGACGTTGGAGGAGAAGATGTGCAACTGGCATCTAGGCAAACAGGAGCATGAATGAATGAAGGAATGTAGCACGATTGTCTGGGGGCACCAGGGGCTCACTTGGGTGACGTGTAGTGAAGGACCATGCATTTAGCATTTAGACCCCGAGTGTTTGCAATAAACTTGGAAGTGAGCCAAGACGGAATTATCCGTGATGATCGTTTATAAAAATAATAATTAGCTCTAAATATAGCCTCCTTCTTGGGATTACGTATTAGGTGCTATGTAGTGATAAAGCCAGAGATGTCTCACAATAAGTGGTCTACCCAGGCGGCGCGTGCCCAACTAGACTCCCTTTAGATACTGTGGAGGGCAGTGAGCCAAGAGAGGAATGGCAGCCTGACAAGGTAGGTGCCATACTTGTCAGACAGAACCACCAGGAGGCAGGAAGAAAAGCCCAGAATCCACCGAGGGTTACAAGTGACCAAGAGTGGTATCATTGGTGGCATTAGTCAGGGGCCCTCGTGCTGGCATGAGTGCTTAGACTCACTTATAGCTGGGCTCCAAGGGTCTTGAAGCTTCTTAAATTTTAAACATGTTTTTGTTTGCTGCTCACTCATCAAGTTGATTCTGACTCATCATGACACGGTCGGTTTCTGAGGCTGTAAATCTTTGTGGAAGCAAGAAGTCTCATCTTTTCCCCTTAGAGAGGCTGGAGGATTTGAACTGCTGATTTGGTGACTAGCAGCCCAACACATAAATCACTATGCCACCATGGCTCCTTTGTACACACCTATAATCTGAAGACTAAGTGCACAGTGGGGTTTTTCCCAATGAAAATCTCAAAGGGCGATTACAATGTAAGAGTTAAAATCAGAGATAAATTCTAGCTCAACCATTCTGATCTAGGATTAGTCATTCTATCTTTTTTAC